ATCAAACATGCTGGCTTATGGTGGATCGTTATTCCTATCTACACTATTGGGCTCCTAATACAGTGGTGCGCGGTGCTAATCGAATGTTGCATCCTCCTCGCGCAGTCAGGAGTCGTCATTTGGTGGCTGGGATGGACTGTGAACCTGTTTACATAGAGCTATCGTCTTGCTGTGCATGTATCTTTATACTCTTGGTTATTGTACAATGAATTCGGTAGTCCATGACAGAACGCATCGGCGAGCGAAGCTCAGCCCGTCTGCGGAGAGAATGAAGGAACCGGCGCGGGGGGCGCGACAGAGTGGTATACTGGTGCCCCGCTGACTGGCGCGACAGGTCCTGATTGCATGTTGTGTCCCGACGGGTGTGCACAGTGTGTATTCCCTTGAGCAGAGTAGCTCGTACTAGGGATGGGAGCCTGAGAGCTAGGCGTGTTCTGGCTGCCTCGATGAGACTGCACTTGCGGGATCTCGGCAACGGCTTTCCCTGCGTTTAGGCAATCCCGGCAGTATCCTGTGTACAAGGTATAAGCATATACAGAGTCAACGGTCAACGAAGCTCTCGGAATGCTCACGACCACCCATCATCAACGGAACATCCGTCTGGTGGCAGGACTGGCAGGCGATTAGGGACAAAGGCGGAGGTATCTTTGACTTGAGTAGACTGTGGCGTTTCACAGGAGCTGCGTTTGGTGGAGGCGCCGGGCCAGGAAGGACTGTCGTGGATCTCCGAGATACAGATTTCCGCTTGGCCCTGGTGCTGTCTGCACCAGCTGGCTTGATAGGCTTGAGGGTATATGGCGGTGCCACTGCCTGCAAGCGAACTCGATACGTAGCTCTTCGAAGGATCGAATAGACTCACATTCCGGATCTCCGTGGCTAACTCTCCTTCTGGCAAACGATGCTGTAGGAAAGTCTGTGGACGTGCCTGCTGCACCTGTGGGTTTAGAGTTATAGCCACGCATACATCTGCACGAACGCGCCACTTACAATCGCAGCAAGCTGAGCCCTGCTCTCTTCTATTCGTTGTGGTCCTCCGGCCCACGACGAGAACAGTTCCCAAAGACTTTGCGATGCTCGCAAAAGTCGGAAACTGACCACCTCGAGCGCGGGCGCGCCAGTCTGTTCCGTCGAAGCGTAGCTCGCTGTGCCGGGGAACGGGAGGCAGCAGGTGATGATCAAGTCTGGGGCTCTATACCCTGTGAGTGGTGCCACCAACTCGCAGACGACGTTTCCGCGAGGGAGAATGAAACGATCAGAAGGGCGTTCGTGGAACTCGAGTATGATATCGAATGGTTTAGGAGAGCTCTGTCTTGCAGGCAATTGATTGGCGGGCTGGACGGGAGGGGGCTCGGGAGGCGTCAATGGTTGGACGCCTTCTAAGGATTGGATGAGCAAGCCTAGGGTCTTGACTTGGTCGTCAGTAGCCGTGCGATTGATAACGGCACTGAGCAGGTTGGCGAGGACTGGATTGCTCTGTGCGGCAACAGTGACCTTGGATGAGAGGGCCGGGGTCACGTAGGTGCCGGAGGGGAACTCTATGGATGATAATGATGCCTGGACTGCACCAGAGCCCGAAGACTGGGCGGCAGGAATCGTTACTTGAAGCATTGCTGCGGGGTTCGTTGGTATAATACACATGAGACAGTACGTCACATACCCTGACGAGCTTCTGGTGGCTGGGGTTCGGCTTCAGGGAGGTAGTGAACTTCGTAGATCGCGGTGTACGAGAAGTGGTGGGGGCCGATGTACAGGTCATACTTGCCATGGGCCTTGATGGTATGAGGCGGCGGAATCACTTCAGCAGGCTTCCCACCGCGAGTCTTGACTGAGAACTTGGGAAAGGTTGTAGATAGCCATTGCGTTCGAGCTAGTCAAGGCACGCAATGGGTATTGGGAAGAGATATATTCAGCGAGACTCACACTGTCTCAAGGATTGCAACACGACAAGACTACACAATTGTTGGTGAGCACCTCATGCTCTCGGGATCGTAGTAAAAGGGGCATGATAGGGAAAAACGTCACGGACCTCTCTGGCACACTCTTCAGCTCCGACTGCTCATGACGAGGGTCGTCGAGCTCCCATCCTGGACGTGGCCCAGTGGGTAGGTGTACGAAACGATTCATGGACGTCATAGGTTAGTTATCAAAAAAGAGGTAGTATTGCAGATTCATGAACAAAGACTGCTGGTTACGCCCCGTCGCACAACACAGTAGGCAGGCAGTGATGTGGAAAGTAGTCCGAGTACGCTGAACGCACCCGACGGAACGGTGGGGATCGAAGACAAGGACGTATCAGGGCACGGGCGCTCTGGCGTGCACATCACTTTGTCCTGTACACTGACGCCTTCACTGAGGTACTGAGCTCTGGTTCCCCCTCCTCAAATACACACTGCAAGATGTCTCAGCGTGTTCGTGAGTAGAATTACTTGTGGGCCCTAGCTTCTCGCTGAGCGCCGCTTAGAAAAGGGCAATACGGTCTTCAGACCGATCGCGAGACCACGACCGCGGGTTGGAGGAGATTCACGCCAATCCTCTGCACTACCGGAGTCGTCTGGTACACCAGTCCCAAGCAATGTACAAGACACTTCTACTCCCAGAGAGCCTTCTGCTATGCCGCCGCCGTCCACAGTACCTACACGGCCCTCGACGGAACAGTCGCCGTCCTCACAGAGTCCTGCACCCAACACGCTCCAAGGAGCTGAAGTTACTCTCGCACCAGAAAGGCCCTTACTTCTGTCCAACACTGTCGATTTTGCCATCGCGGGAGTTCCACAATCATCGGCCCAACGAATCACACCGACGCCTTCTCGGCTTCCTCCCAGGATTGGTTCTTCCCAGCCTCCCTCCATCCAACCTGGTGTTGCCATTGCTATGCCCTCACGGACTATGGTCCGGGCACCCCCACCCCCCTCCTCGCCCCCCGCTCCTTCCTCTATCATGCCCATTGTGCCACCCTCAAGTACTGTCCACGCGCCAGGTCCTGGTTACTCCCTAGCAGACTTCTTTGCATCCCCAGGCGTGGGCATACTGGAGAACGCTCCTGTACCTGCGTCATTCTCAATTGACATGTCTCAAATCGATCCGCAACTCATAGGCTCGTCTGGGACTGCTGGAGCAGCTACCATAGCATCCCAAGACGCGGACGCGAGCAGAATGTCTTCTGAACAAGGACATCGACCGGCCATCGCCCTCAACGATGTGCCCGCTGTCAAGGCCCCTCGCCCACGACGCACCCAGCGAAAGAAGTCAGGAACAGGTGATGAACTGCAAGCAGAGGATGAGGCCAATCGTGAGTGTTGCTGTTTCTGGCCTACAGGAGTGATTGACCCATAACACCCATCCCTGCAGAAGACAGAACCGGACTGACGGACGCCCTCAAAAGAAGGCGTACCAGGAGAACGAGCATTCAAGACCAGAACGCTTCCGATTCTACAGGAAAGAAGCGCAAACGGTCCGAAACGGCGGAACCCTGTCGGTCTCGAAAACGCGCACCTTCCCCACCCCCTTTCGATCCGAATGTGGATCCGGGTGATGATCTTGACCCTACTTCAGTCACAATGGCCGCCCTCTGTGACGACACCGGTCATGGCCGTGTCAGTAGCAAAGCGGCGCAAATTGTCAGCAATCACGCCGCCTGGCGGGCCGCAAACCGAGAGAAGCGTGCTCGCATGAAGGCGGCTATGGAGGCCAAGAAGTATGGCCGGAACATCGAAGAGGAGGAGAATGGGACAACTCATGCCTCGAACGACAACGCAGCGCTTGCCCCGGATGTATCAGGTCCGGCCTCTCGCGCGGCATCTGTAGCATTGGATCCGAATGCGTCCACCTCGGTTGCGGAGGGCGTTGAGGAGTCCGGCAAGGACCCGGACGGGTTTGACTACTCTGAAGACCTGGCTGTCAGCCGTTTCAACGTCCAGGTTCGCATCGGAGCGAATGGCGAAACCATCGTTGATGAAGAGTCGCTGTACGTCAACCGCAACGAGGAGCATCAAACCGAGGAGTACACACACGTTGAAGAGTCTGATTTCACCAAGTTCGTTAACTCTGCGACGTACAGCAAGAAGCTGCGGGGATCTCGCTGGAGTGCGGAGGAAACGGAGCTGTTTTACGACGTAGGAGTCATCTTTCTGAGTGCTAGGCTCTATGAGCTGATCATCGTGGGGACCAGGCGTTGTCGCAGTTTGGTGAGAACTACGAGCTCATCTCCTATGTACTGCCGGGAAGGGATCGCAAGGCGTGCAAGAACAAGTTCAAAGCCGAAGACAAGAAGGATCCAGTACGTATCACCTATTGCCTCAAAAATCGCAGACCATACGGCACGTATCTCTCTCTTCTCCCCTGACGCCTCCTGACATGACTATCCACAGACATTGCAACGTTGTCCCGTCTGACGGGTAAGGACTTTTCGGGGCCAACGCCCGAAATCCGGGCCCCGACCCCTCTTCGTTCGACGGAGTTACAAGTCAATACTGAACCTCCTGCCCCGCCATCTCCTCGTGCGGGCCGCAAGAAAAGCAAAACGCCAAACATTCCTGAGGCTGGCGTGGAGATCGTTGGTGGCATAGACGAGGTTGAGCAAGACGATGTCCCCGAAACGTCGGCCCCCGCATGAATGAATGTAGTAGTAGGTACACTATTGTCTGCATTAACCTCTTCGTGGCTAGCTTGTACTCTTCAAACCCATTGTACAACATATACATGACCTCTTAATTGGGGCGTGATGGGTTCAGGTGGGTTCCACAGTACCTGCAGTCGCGCCACCCGACCTTGTCAATGTCACGTGGCGCAGCCATTTAGGAATCTCTCCCACAGGTTAGTCACCTTCCGTCACATCGGTGTCTGCGGATGTCTCCTGAGAATATCGGAGCCTGCCGATGGATCTCGACATCTCCGGAAACCTCGGAGTTCGCTCGCGTGGGGCTTCTGCAGAATGAGACGAAAACACAATGAAGTGAAAAGAAATTGATACAGTGATTACCTTTTGGACTGGAGACTTTCAAGCCGGGATAGCTCAGCTGGGAGAGCAACAGACTGAAGATCATGCATTCTGGAGGTCGCGTGTTCAATCCACGCTCCTGGCATTCATTTTGTTTTAGCGCCGCTGACTAAGCAATGACTGCTATGATGGGAGGTTGGTACATTGTGACATATGTCACTTGACCTGTGACATTGCGTTCATCACGTCACGTGCGTTGACGCGTCGCGCCGACGCGCATCACCTGTTGGTGTTCTGTCTCCTTCCTCTATTCTACCACCATCCTGTGCTGAAGTCACGAATTCGACCTAGACATGGCTCGTCGCACATTATCTCAGAGCGTACCGGCCCCGTCGCGACCCTCCACTCCATTGGGAGACGATGTCGAGGAGGCATGTGACATACCTTCTCTACAAGAAGCCGCATATACCCACCTGAGTTTCGCAGGGCCCGTACTTCGACACCGTCGACGAGCTCCAGCAGCACGTACGCGTTTTATTTAAACGGCATACTATTCTTGCTCAATGTTATCCAGGGGATCAACGTCCAAGACATACTCAAACTCAAGGTGATGACTGCGAAGTTGGGTGCCATAAGTGTCCTCACGTCGCACAGGCAGCTTCTATCAATACGGTTTCCGGAGTAAACATGACCACAAGGAGGCAAATGCTGAAAATTAAGGTAGGAGTCAGCATCCCTGCGCATGAGACTCCGACTTGACATGCATTGTCAGGGTATGTCTGAAGCCAAGGTCGAGAAGATCAAGGTGTGCGGCGTGTCTGCCCGTTTCCATGTCGGTGTGCAACATATTCACGGCTCTGTCGCTTTTAGGAGGCTGCGCACAAAGTTTTGGTGCGAGGCTTCCTTTGGGACCGCATATATGCAGCTCACAACGCCAGTAGGGGTCTTCCTTCGCTACAGGATTGGAAGTCCAGGAGAAGCGCAAGCGCGTTCTCACCATCAGTAGCGGCAGCAAGGCGGTTGACACCGCGTTAGGCGGTACGTTCCCTTCCAGAATGTTCAGCAACGTACTTGAGCATTACCATGGCCACAGGCGGGATCATGTCCCAATCTATCACTGAAGTCTATGGCGAGTTCCGGACTGGGAAGACTCAGCTTGCACATACTATGAGTGTGGTCACGCAGCTCCCACCTGACATGGGCGGCGCCTCCGGGAAGGTGCGTAGACGGTCTGTGGTCATCCCCAACTCGCATTCTCATGAACGCAGGTCGCATATATTGACACCGAAGGCACTTTTAGACCTGATCGTATTCGGTCTATCGCTGACCGCTTCGGTGGTGAGTTGAGTGTACACCCCTCGTGTTCCAAACTAACGCGCGATACAGTCGATGGTAACATGGCCCTTGAGAACATCTTATATGGTCGGTGGTTCGCCCTAGCCAGAGAAAACCGCTCATCACACAACCAATAGCAAGAGCTCACAACAGTGAACATCAGGTATGCGACATGATGATCGTCTCACGCATACACTGACTTCAGTGCAGATGGAACTCATCAATGAATGTTCCATCCGCTTCGCTGAGGACAAGGACTTTCGGCTGCTGGTTAGTCGATACTAAGCTTTAACTAATCGCTGTTGCGATCCTCAACCATAAACAGATTGTCGATAGTATCATGGCCTTGTTCAGGGCAGACTACTCCGGCAGGGGAGAATTAAGTGAACGTCAACAGAAGGTTAGCTTGTTCGGGTTGCAATGAGTACCTGAAGCTCACTGCGTTATTCCAGCTCGCTCAAGTGCGTGTGTCTCTACGGGTGGTTGAAACCGTACTGATACCCGATTAGATGCTGTCCAAGCTCAGCAAGCTTTCGGAAGAGTACAACGTACGTTTGAAGGCATTCCGTGTCGCACGTGACTCACCTTTCGCCAGATCGCGATTCTCCTCACCAACCAGGTACAATGTGAGATACTCTGTCAACATTCAGCCTATCCCAGACTCAATTGCGCTTGCAATAGCTGATCCCGGCGCCACAATGACATTCGTTGCGGGAGGAGCACTCAAGCCTATCGGCGGACATATACTCTCCCATGCATCTGCAACCAGGTTGTACCTCAGGAAAGGTCAGTCATTGAGTGGTCATCGTCGACCGCTCCAACTGATATCGCGTGATCTCTCCTATAGGGAGAGCTGAAGAACGTGTGGCCAAACTCGTCGATAGTCCGGACCGGCCAGAAAGCGAAGCATCGTACAAGCTCGATGAGGGAGGCTGGGCTGACGTTTGATGTCCACTCTTTGGTACCAAGGCCTCATCCCTGACTCGTCACGAAGCCTGTCTATGCGTGGGACTCCGCTTGCTCTGCCTGCTCCAAAAATTCCCGATTGCTGGCACACATCTTGGACTTCTGTTACTCCGACGCCGCTTACGTTCATCTCACGCTCTGGCCCTCCTGTTGCCTTCGCCGTCTGGTCTGTGTCTTGCTCTCTGCGGACTGCTGTGCATGATGTCGATGAACCATGGGTCTCTCCTCCGGCTCTTGTGTCCCTAAGTAACGTATGAGGCGGTGTCGAGGTTACCCGCAGCGCGCGTGGCTGTTGCGAGTCACCTACTTATATGTAATCATACAGTGCATCAAATGCCAAGGTCGTTTGTACGAAGCACGTTTGTATGTCGGTTGTTCGAGGTGTGCGAACCTCCGACGTGGTTGCCGCCACTGACGGCAGTGGGCATTGTGTTGACAAACATGAACGTCGGTCGCACGCACATTGCACCGGCTTGGGCCTCGTGGCCCACCGGAGCTCCGCCAGGAACAGGACAGGAGTGCTGAGCTGAGAAAATCGACCCCCCTATGCGGCATTCGTATCCTGCGCGAGGCGCACTGGGTGGAATGGATCATGCTCAGATTACCAGGACCGCCAGGCACCCGCCTCTCTGTGCCCCAATCAGCGCACACAAACCGGACAACGTCGCGTTTGATGGACATCTGCAGTTGACTGATGCGCGTTCTCGGCGCGGCCGTTCATGTGGTCGTCGTTCTTTATCGGCCGCATGATAGCACGTTCGTTGCGCCTGACACAGCGTCCATAACCCTTAAGTACTCGCGTTTGGCGATGGAGAAGCCGTCCGCCTCCCCTGGTACGCTCCAGAAGGGCGATTTGTAATGGTCGTCGCACTTGGTATCGTCTCCGCCTTGCTCGCCATCCAGGCCGGCGCGAGCGCGTCCTTCTTCTCGCTACCGCGGACGTTCCCTAACATTTCGGCTTGCGCGAACGAAGCTATCACCTACTCGTGCGAGAACACGACAGCGATCCAAAACACATGTTGCTCTCCTACGCCCGGCGGCTTAGTGTTGCAGACTCAATTCTGGGACACCTACACCGGACTGGAGCACAGGGGTCAGCTGTTGCCCAAGGACAGCTGGACCATTCACGGGCTATGGCCGGACAACTGCGACGGGTACGCTTCCTCCACGTCTTGCTCCAGGCACTCACTTACCCGAGGCTCCGAGCAGGTCGTACGAGCAGTACTGCGACTTGTCGCGGCAGTACGATCCCGACCCGTCGCCTGCCGTCTTGCCTGACGGAAGGCCGGTGCCTGCATACAAAGGCCCGGGAGTGTCCACTTTTGTGGCCGAGTTCGGGCGTTTTGACCTCCTGGATTTCAGTGAGTGTGGCCTGCGCTCGTTGCAACTCAGTACAAGTTTGACGACCGTCCCTTGCAGTGAACAAGTATTGGGTCAGCCAGGGTGGTCCTAACGATGGGTTTTGGGGGCATGAGGTATGTGTATCACGCTAATTGGCTACATTCGGCTACTCACCTAGGATACAGTTCTCCAAGCACGCGACCTGTACCTCTACGTTTGATGTCGCTTGCTATGGTCCCGACTACAAGAAGAACCAGGATGTAGTCGACTTCTTCGATGCTGTCGTCCGTGCATACAAGATGTATCCCACTTGGGAGATGCTGGCTGCGTACGTGCCGTCTCACTGTCAAGCCAGTCGCCTATTGACAAGATGCGCTATCTTCAGCTCTGGAGTTTTCCCGTCGAACAAGACTACATACTCGCTGGCACAGCTGCAAACCGCGCTCAAGGCACAGACCGGGACCGTCCCTTACTTGGGATGCGGTCACAACGGAACTGTGCTCCAAGAAGTATGGTACTTCCATCACGTATCGGGCACGGTGAGCGTGACAATCCAATTGAATCGCTCACAAGACTCAACGCGCATCACAGGAGCAGTTCGGCCATTTCAAGACCGTGGACTCGACGACTAAGTCGTCGTGTTCGTCGACTGCAGGCATCCACTACTATGAGCGCACACCTACATCGGAACGCGAGGTGAGGCTGTTGCCTTGAGAAGTTGTTGTAGATTACATACCTGTGTATGTAACCACAACCATCGCCTTGTACGCAATCGTGGCAAGTGGTGGGCTCCGCAGTCAGTACCGACGAACATCAGCGAACAGTGGCCCGGTGGTCATGGGACGTCCGCCTCTGAGGTCTGGCCAGGTCGAGAAACAGGGGCTTCAACCATATAATGGGAATGCTACGCACTGCCGTAGATGTATGTCGATACTTCCCACTCACCAAAATGCCGGGAAAGTGCTTGCGGTGCACAATAAGTAGCATGCGCACACTGAAGCAACCATGCTCTCTGCGGTCACGATCGATGCCGCCTCCGGGACCGCGTTCCGTTGTTGGGCGCCTGGCGTATCTCGTTCCGAACCGTCCACTTACTACCCCACCGGCTGCCCTTGAAGAGATCGACGAAGACATGCCCCCCGACTACGAGCTTCAATCCTACTGGAAAGAGAGGTTCGACGGGGAGCACCACTTCGAATGGCTCGGAGACGGCAAGGACACCATCCTTCCCCACGTACGGTCGTATTTGCGTACCTCGCTTTCGCCTGCACACCCCACGCCTGGCTCTCCTCCTCGACTGCTACACATCGGAGCCGGCACTTCTTCGCTTTCCGAGCGTCTCCGCGAGCTATACCTCGATGTTTACGGCGCCGACACCGACGAACGGGCAATCGTCCACACGGACTTCGCGGAGAACTTGGTGGCACGAGAACGGGAGGCGGAGGAGGCAAGACGTGCGAAAGGAGGGCCGGAAAAAGGAATGCGATGGTTTTGCCTGGATGT